TCGTCGCCAACACTAGCGTATGTAGAAGCATATTTCATTCACATTACCCGTCATGGTTAAAGCACTAATCCTTTTTCATAGTGCTGAACCGTGACGTAATTTCCGTTTGGTTACACCTCCCCTACCTGCCCTTTTGTTTACTAACTCCATAGTTGGTGAAGGTGGTTGAAGGTAAACTTCATTATTTGTTCACAAATGATGATTGTGAAAAATGGAGGATATGATGAGAACATTCTAATTGAAAATGGATGGAGTGGATGTGTGGATGTCGAAGTAAGATACACAGGTAACCTGTGGTAGTGGGAAAAATGAAAGAAACATGAATTCAAAAATAGTCAAGGTTGACGTCATTATGACGTAATTGCCTCTCCCCACCTTCACCTAAATACTCTAACCGGGTTTAACGGGAAATGAGAATGAAATATTGGAAATATCCCTTTAGCCTAACTTTTCGAAATAGAATCCCACGACGAGCATGCAAGGCGTGTAGACCATGTTGAAGGCGATGCCCGCGCACACGCCTATCACCAGCAGGAAGGCCAAGAAGTCCTCAAGGAAGCTCGAAACAAGGAAGGTGGCTGCTGAAAACAGGCCGCCCATGATGCCCACGCATCGGAAGCCGAACTTGTTAGCCAGCGCGCAAGTCAAAGGACCTGGAAATTACAACAGGAATTAAGGAGGGGAATATTCCTTCTGATGCATTTTCATCGAATTAAATAGTTTCACAGTGATGAGCTTCATATATGTTTGAAATCTTCAGTTTGTTCCAACTTCCAATTCAACCAACTGCTGTTATTCTTTTGAGGAAGATGATAAAATACATAACTCTCACAGAACAGTACATAATTGTTGACATCATATACAGGATTCTATATCCCACAAAAAGACGTTCAATGAGTATGAAAATTCATTTCAATTTCACATTTCCATTCACATCGCTAGAGAAGAAAGAGTGTACGAGTGCATCTGATATGGACTGTTTTTCTCGGCCCATGATACTATTAGACCCGGTATCCAGTGTCTCAATATGTGTCGTCAGCCTCAGCTTTTTGTGATTTCTTGATTCAGTATACCTTTACAATGAATTCTTTAAATGCACGAGTTTTTATCTTTTATGTATATGCAAGTCTTTATAGTACCTAGCTAATGACAGGTGAATAAGTCACTAATGACAAGTGAAAAAGTCACTGATGACGAGTAAATGAGTCACAAATGACATGTGATTAGGTCACTAATGACAAGTAAACAAAGTAACTAATGACAAGTGAATTAGTCTCTAATCGCAAATGAATAAGTCACTAATGATGAGTGATTAAGTCACTAATGACAAGTGAATAAGTCACTAATGACATGTGAATAAGTCGCTATTGACAAGTGAATAATTCACTTATGACAAGTGCTGTGTTCATTGACGGTAATCAATCTGAAATTCAATGGAATAGATTAATGGTTATTTAACCATCAACTAGTATATTAATGAGGGCGATTAATGATCGAGATATTTTAACGTGCGAGCGAAGCGAGTGCGTTAATGTTCGAGATCATTAATCGCCTTTTAATATACAAGTTGGTTACAAAATTTTTCCGTCGACTATATTTCTCATTTCTCCTGCAATGAAGAAAACTTGGTTCGCGAATTCATCATCCATCCGGAAACTGCTAAGAATCACCCAGTAGCCTTGTTACTGACATTAGTGTCATTTGACATTTGTAATCAACATAAGAAATAAATTCCTTGTGTTAGAAAACAGGGAATAAAATCGTGTCAGAAACTTGGAAAGGCGAACCCGTTAACGGAAAATCGTCGATGAAATCCATATTTTCGATTTAAATGCAGATTCCGCTAGTTATAGCATAAACAATGAATGCAAGCGGTGTATGTTTGGTTGCCTATAAAACAATCGTGCATTAATAGACAGATCGTCCATTAATAGGGGTCATTAATGAACGATTTCATATACATTAAACTTAGTCGTTAATACGAGGTCGACGGAAATAGTAATTAAATCAATCAATTAATAATATCTTGTGCAACGTACAATAAACAATTGTATCTAGCAAATTTCGACAGTTGCAATAAAATTGCAGAATCAGCTTTTTTGAACATCAGAGCGAGTTGGGAATAGAGAGAGACAAAAAAAGATCAGAGAGTCGGGTCGAAGATATCGAGGAGAGAATAGTGTGAGATCGGTTTCGAAAATAAGAAAAATTCTAACCCTCAGATGGTAAAAGTTACAGTGCGAAAAGCGAAAACGATGTTAAAGTTTATATTCTGGTTTAATTTTCCAGCCATATTTTTGGTTATTCAATATGCGCAACTTGCCGAGTGATTTTGTTTTGGTTATTTTTTATTAAAATTCAATTGATATCAATGCTGCTGCGAGACCGCGAAAACGCGCTAATATAGAGTGATACGACAGACAGCAGGATCTGTAGCTGAACATATACGTCTGGTTATACCAGGTCGTCGTTGAGGAAGAGTTATTTGGGTGAGATCAGAATAATTTTATCTGCTTATTGTTTGGATGCAGCTCCTCTGATATGTTATTATTTGGTTGCATTATTTTTCATATTGTCATGGTCTGTTTTTATGATGGATTTCTTCAATATTGCAATATCAGTTTAATTATTTTGCCTTCGAAGTAATGCGTTTGAATATAAGTTGTACCTAAAAATATACCCTAGATCCTAACGAATCTGCTTTACAGCGATATAGGGCTCCGAACTCCAGGAATCTCGAACCAGTGGCTTTTCGGAACTCTATAATATCCTACCTAGTGTGGACACGTACTAGGTGGTTTCAGCATATAAACAGGGGTTGACAGACTTCCGGGGCAGTCCTGGAGTCCTCTAGCATCATCGTATGAAGAGGGTCAGGCTGGCAAGTGGTCAGTAGTCTCATCAGACTGGAGACACGAGCAACGATACAATTTGAGAAGGCGGCGATGATAGATGGATATCAACATAAAATAAAATCTCATTTCCAATTATTACCCACGGCTATCCTTGTTCAGAAGGTAACTCAGGTTACATCGAACGTCTTGCTGATGTCCGTCAAGATAATACTGAAGGTATCCGTGGTCTCATCGATGATTAAGTTACAGACGAGGATCTCAATAATATACATTCATGGATATTTTGAACATTGAAAATTTCTTCAGCAAAGTAAGAGGCAGAGATGGAAGCTACCACTAGAGAAATGTTTAAAACTATGGTGGAAGATTGATTCTTCTTCTTGAACATCTCGAAGATGTTTTCCATACAATTTCCATTCCGAACCCAGAATTCTCATCAAAAAGGAAGAACCCTTCCAAAAGGGAGTTAACAACTATCACGAGTTCACTGCATAGTCTCGTAGAAATTATTTGTGAACTATGTACAAGTTTATATGGAATCATTTCAAACATTGTCCCCGGAGAGTCGAGTAAGTAACGGCAATTTCTAATTATCTGAAAACTAGTGTGAAATAACTCGTTGGAGATTTTGATAATTTCTGATTTACCCTCACAACAAAAAATTCGTCTGTAGAATTTGTGGTTAATTGACCACCCTCGTAGGATGCACCTGGAATGTCTTGCTGATGTCGGTCAAGAAAACCCCGAAAGTATACGTTGCCTTATCGATGATAGAGTTGCAGACGAGGATAACAATCATAATTTTCATATATAGTTTGAACATTGGAAATGTCTTCAGCAAAGTGAGAGGCAGAAATCAAGTCATACTGCCACTAGATAAATGATTGAAACTATGGTGGAAAATTGATTCTTATTTCTTCTTCGTGAACATCTCATAGATCATCTACTATTTTCTGCACAATATTTTCCATTCCAAATTCGCAACTGACATTAAAACAGCAGGATACTTCCAAAGGAGAGTTACCATTCATCACAAGTTCAATGCATTGTCTCGTAGAAGTTATTCATAAACTGTGTACAAGTTTCTATAAAATCATTTCAAATAATGTCCCTGAAAAGTCAAGTAAGTAACAGTGATATATAGTTATCTGAAGAGTTGTGTGAAAGAAACCCTCACGAAAATTGATTTTGCTGTAATTTTGTGGTATATTGTCAAGAAGTACAAATGTCTATGAAATAACATCACTCAAAATTTCGTTCATTTCTCGATCTTTATTCATAGATTAACTTTTCCAAATTAAAACATCTAGTACAGCGTTTCGATCAGGTCAAAGCGGAGTTCATAGACTATAGTTCCGGTAAAATTTGCATGAAACCGCTTAGCTTGCGATGCGGGCTAATAAGCTATACGCCCGGTATCGAGCATTGCCATTGCGGAAAATTGCAATTTTAGCATCGATTCCAAATATAAATAGATTCCGAATCGATAAGCGGGGCATTATTGATCACCCATTTCTGATTACTGATTAATTCATTATTATTGATTTACTCATAACTGGTTACTGATAACTAATTCATTACTATTTGATTATATTGAATTATAATGCATTTCGATAACACTTTACTTTATTCCGTAATTGAGTTACTAATTCACAAGTTTGCTGCCAAAAAGTGCACCGTCCTCCCGACTTTGATCCTGCTGGTCAACCCCATGTTAGATGTCATAATGTAAGCACTGTTTTTCCATGTTCTATCTGAATGGTTGTTTTGTGTTGTGTTCCGTTTGGTAATTTACTATGGTTTGTCTCTGCTACTTTGCCATGTGACAAGCATATATTCACGACTTTCCCATTAAATCAATAAATGTTAATTTTATACGAAAACTATCTTGACTCTTCATTTGGGGATGAATATGGTTGGGTGGTGAAATGATCAAAATCCTCTCGTCATGCCAAGCGAGTAGCCAAGTTGCGATCCATAGGAGGGCAACATCTGAGTTGCGACATGTGGTGGACACGCCGTCGTTTGCCAAATAATCTACCAAAACCATCTGAGTTGCGACAATATTGAAAACTGAATCTCACCTGCAAAGTAATAGAATCCGCTGAGAAGCGAGCTGACCAACGCCACTTTCGTAGGATGCACCTCGAACGTCTTGCTGATGTCCGTCAAGAAAATTCCGAAGGTATACGTGGTGCCATCGATGATGAAGTTGCAGACGAAGGCCACGGCCACCACTACCCATCCCCAGCCACCGTCCGGGGGTATAACGACGTAGTGCTCGGCCACGTCATCCTCGGTGGCGGGTAAGATGACTGACCGCGTGGGGATAGTGCGCATGACCGAAGGGGCAGCCACGGAGACGGACCTGGTGGTTCTGACGGTCGGAGGAGGGTTCCGCATCACGGTGATTGTTCGGTGTCACACTAATAGATGATATAGGAGTGACAGTGACAGGATGAGTCAAAACGAGCATGATGTTTGGATATTACAATACACAAAGTGAATTGTTTATTTGTTCATAATGGTCATGTTCCGATATAGCTGACATTACTGGCACTAAACAGTGGCAATAACTTTGAATTTTCATCCCATTTCGGGATGATTTTGGCAGTATTGGTACACTGGCAGCAAAACATATCCGTAAGCCATGATCTTTCGATTTTCGATGCTTTGTTCAGTTGGTTTCTATTTCCATCATTCTTATTATTATCTTCTTTACTCACGTTGAAATCATGGATGGGGTGATTATGCTGGTTTTACAGATTCAACTATAAGAAGAATCAAACTAACAAATATGAATTCGAAAAGTTGACTACAAGAAAACATCTATGAGGGATTATACATTCAGATCTGCCATTCAAATTAGGAATAAAGAATTACAAAGCTGGCCAACTTTCAAATCAACAACTTAGAATTAGGCATTTCTGAAGGCAAAACATGAAGATTGGATTTGTTATTGTTCAAATGGAGATTGGTGATATTTAATTGGAATATTTTTCATGGATTCATGAATTGTGGAAACCGAAATCACTAGGTAAGTTTCTTGGTGGTCGACTTTTTTTGCTTGTGAGTGAATAATTTTTATCGACCCATACCTATAACCATTCGAACGCTTAAACTCGGGAATATCAGAACGAACCTAATCGGAACATGCTCGATATCTAATTGTGGGACATTCTACTATTGATTGTTAATCTTTTATACAGCGTGTAATATAGGTACATTGAAATATATTTGTTTGGCAAGATTTCGCTCTCGCCCTCGAGCCTGAAATATTATTCACCAAGTGAATTGATAGGCATAAAAAAGCTGGATCAACCTGGTGAAATATGTTTCGGTGTGAGCCACAATAGATCCTTAGAATGAAGAGATTTTGTATTTCGTGTAAACATTTTTATTATAAATCGCAAAGCGCTTTCGGCTAAAAAGCCATCACCAGTGCTATACCTGCAAGTAAGTAACATTTATGAAATTTCAAAAAACAAATCGAAAAAGGTAGATTACTTACTCGTCAAGTATGTACAGAAAGGTCCAAAAATTAGTGATCACCGACATCATTATGGTACAAACGGGATTAGGAACAGACATACATTTAACAAATATGTTCCATAATGGGTTATTGTAAAATTTTTCAAAAATACATGTTGAGATTGTTTTGTTCAAGTCCAGAAATAGCACAGGGACCTTAACCTTATTTTTTCTGGAGAATGTTTGACAATTTTTAACTTTAGTAAATTGTTGACAGTGACTGAGTGTCAATGTCTATGACTTAGTTGACATGTGTATGGAGTAGACAAGTGACATAATGAAAAAAGCGCTTGGGAAAGAATTGACAAGGTGAGCAGAAAACTGTCTAAAAATTTTGAGAACATTCTGAAAAGTAAAATAAGATGAAGTGGACTTCAATCCAGGCCAAAGAGTAAACCTTTGTAGTAAAATTGAGAGAACAGAGTTTCCAATCAAGACTTAAGAGTCCTGGTGTTCAAACTGGAAGTCCAAGGAGAATTCCTGTAGACGAATGCCTCATCAGAAGCAAACATACCACCAGAATACCTCCAGACTCAGAACGAAGGCCGAACTCAAGTCTCAAAAGTAAGCCGGATCCTGAATGCAATTTTGTTGTGTTGGGTGAAAATTAAAGAGCAGGACTTCCATTTCGGACTCAAAAGTCCTAGTGTTCGAGCCGAAGATCTAAGGATGCCCAACCCAAGTTGTGAATCCACAAGAGAATGACAACATCAGTTGAGCCTCCCGACCTCAAGCGTAGACCGGACTCAAGTCCGTAAAGTGTCTTGATATGATATCCATTATAACTCATACAAGACACTGTTCCAGATTTCGGCTTCAACAAGTCTGAATCTGGCTTACTTTTCGGAGGTCGGGAGGCTCAACTGATGTTGTCATTCTCTTGTGGATTCACAACTTGGGTTGGGCATCCTTAGATCTTCGGCTCGAACACTAGGACTTTTGAGTCCGAAATGGAAGTCCTGCTCTTTAATTTTCACCCAACACAACAAAATTGCATTCAGGATCCGGCTTACTTTTGAGACTTGAGTTCGGCCTTCGTTCTGAGTCTGGAGGTATTCTGGTGGTATGTTTGCTTCTGATGAGGCATTCGTCTACAGGAATTCTCCTTGGACTTCCAGTTTGAACACCAGGACTCTTAAGTCTTGATTGGAAACTCTTTTCTCTCAATTTTACTACAAAGGTTTACTCTTTGGCCTTTTACTCACCTTGTCAATTCTTTCCCACGCGCTTTTTTCATTATGTCACTTGTCTACTTCATACACATGTCAACTAAGTCATAGACATTGACACTCAGTCACTGTCAACAATTTACTAAAGTTTAAAATTGTCAAACATTATCCAGAATAAATAAGGTTAAGGTCCCTCGTGCTATTTCTGGATTTGAACAAAACAATCTCAACATGTATTTTTGAAAAATTTTACAATAACCCATTAGGGAACATATTTGTTAAATGTATGTCTGTTCCTAATCCCGTTTGTACCATAATGATGTCGGTGATCACTAATTTTTGGACCTTTTTGTAAATACTTGACCAGTAAGTAATCTACCTTTTTCGATTTGTTTTTTGAAATTTCATAAATGTTACTTACTTGCAGGTATAGCACTGATGATGGCTTTTTAGCCGAAAGCGCTTTGCGATTTATAATAAAAATTTTTACACGAAATACAAAATCTCTTCATTCTATTGATCAGTTACGTGTATGCAGCTAGTAAAAATCTTCACAATAGATCCTTACAAGTAGCAGTGGCAGGACGAATAGACGCACTCTCTTCAAAGCTAACCCAACCATATACATTCATTCAAGTTTTCCAATATTGGAAACGTCTTTAGCGAAGTAAAAGGAGCAAATTAGTAGAATCTCCAAAACCACAATTTTTCGCCACTAGTGAAGAATTGAAAAATGTGTAATTCACTCCGACAAAAATTGATTCTGCTGTAATTTTGCGGCAACTTGAAATGGTTTGGGGGATCTCACATGTTCCAAAGTGATAAAATCCGTTGAGAAGTAAGCTAACCAACGCCACCTTCGTAGGATGATAAGATATACGTGGCTACATCGATGATCAAGTTGGTAACAAATATCTCAATCTTGGAAAAGTCTGCAGCTAAGCTGAAGGATGACTATATCGCCACTAGAGAAATGTTTGAAGCAATGGTGGAAGAGATTGATTTTTATACGTGAACATCTCAAAAATTAACATTCTTCTTCTGTATAGTAGACCACTTCCAGAAGAAGGTTACCATCGGCGATAAAGTGAAATGCCGAAGATTGTGTGAATGTTTCGATAAAATCATTTCGAATAAAGTCCCTGGAAAGTCTAGTAAAGATGATATCTTGTTACATGAATACTTGAACCTAGTAAGCACGCAATTCGAAAATGAATACTTATGTAACCAGTTAGGAGAGGCGTCATTTTGTGTGACAATTGGAACACAAAACCCAACTTGTTACGCAACTGCAAAGCAACTGTAACTGTCACACAGAATATCTGTTGGGTATTTTATGACAGTTGTGCAACTGGTTGAGTGAAGTAGGACGTTTCAAATCTTCCGTCAGTCTTGAATTGTGTCAAAAAAGATGTCAAAATCATGAAACTGTTTATTCCACACTCACGAATATCGATTCTACTATAATTCTGCGGCAAATTGAAATTGTTCACTGAATCTCACCTACAAAGTAATAAAACCCGCTGAGAAGCGAGTTAATCAACGCCACTCTCAGTAGAGGGGCTACAGGGATTCTGGGGCAAGCCAATCAGAGACCAGCATTTGGTTGGAGGCCACGCCCACTAAAAACCAGCGCGAAATTCAAATTATGCATACGTCGTCACGTCGCCATCGTGAATAAATAAATTAAAAAAAGCTGTCACCGCTGAGGGAAATTGAACCAGGGACCTTTGCATTATGAGGCAGCGTATATACGCACTGTGGTATTCCGACCTCCGTGATATTTCAATTATTTTAATGCTATTCAAACGGGATATCCATAGCTGGCGCGCGCTTATCTTTGCAACGGATCCATCGAGGTAGAGTGAAGCGAGAGATGCATTCCAGAGATAAGAAACTTCGCGTGGAAAATAATATCCATCGGTGGCGCGCGCTTATCTTTGCAACGGATCTATCGAGGTAGAGTGAAGCGAGAGATGCATTCCAGAGATAAGAAACTTCGAGTCGAAAATAATATCCATCGCTGGCGCGCGCTTATCTTTGCAACGGATCTATCGAGGTAGAGTAAGGCTCGAGCGCTCGGCGCTGCAACGTTGTCGGACGTATGTGTTTGGATGTTAATATTGTTACATTATTGTGTGTGGCAACGCTGTCTCGCTTCATGGCGTTCGAAGATCCAGCAAAGCGAGAGATCCCGTAGAATGATAAGCGCGCGCTCGTATTGGAAACGAATACTTGGATTATTTATTTATTTTAAAGTGGGTGACGTCATGCCGTTACCTTCATAGCGTTCGAAGTTCCAGCAAAGCGAGAGATCCCTTAGAATGATAAGCGCGCGCTCGTATACCCATTCCTCAAACTGCGACTTTAATGACAATAACAAGATTGAATTTTCATATACAGGGCGTTTGAGTTGATGAAGATTGAAAAAAAAAATATATACAGGGCAGCCCATGGGGGTAAAAGAATACGAAAACGAAGATAAATAATCTATTTATTTAAGTAATCCTTTTCTACAAAAATGACATGCCTCTTGAGAAGATGGCGGTCCATCCCAGTGTGTGGTCCAATCGGGACGATTATAATGAACGAAGCATGGCAGTTTGATTTGTAGGTTAAAGTTGCTGCGATATTCTTGAGGAAGTTTGTGCCACACCCTTAATAGCCCATAAGGATC